CAATCCGGGTGTGAATTCTACATTTATAGCCTTAATTCCAAAAAAGAAAGATGCTTCCCACCCGAAGGATTTTAGGCCAATTAGCTTGGTTAATAGCTTGTATAAGATCATTGCAAAAGTGTTGTCTTTGAGGCTGAAGAAGGTTTTTCCAGATATCATTGCACACTATCAAGGAGCTTTTGTGAATGGAAGACAAATTACTGATCAGATTTTAATTGCTAATGAGAGTGTGGAGAACTTTAAGAGGGGTATGAAGAAGGGAGTGGTCTGTAAGTTGGACTTGGAAAAKGCTTATGACTTGGTGGACTGGGACTTCTTGAGGAAAATTTTGACTAAATTTGGGTTTGGGGCTAGATGGTGTAAGTGGATCATGGGTTGTATTCGGAATTGTCATTACTCAGTGCTAGTGAATGGGACAACGGTAGATTTATTTTCAGCCATTAAGGGTATAAGACAAGGAGACCCCCTTTCTCCTTTCTTGTTCATTCTAATTGCGGAGGTTTTGGGGAAACTGATTCATAGAGCAGATTCTATGGGGGCTCATTCGAGGCTGGAGAGTTGGGAGGGTGGAAACCCCCCTTACTCACTTGTAGTTTGCTGACGACACGATTCCGTTTTGTGAAGGCGGTAATGTGAGTTTTATAAGGAATTTGAAGTCGGTGATACAATTGTTTGAGCAAATGTCCAACTTGAAAGTTAGCCTTGGGAAAAGTTGTGTTGTGGGGGTAAATTTGGAGGAGGGAGAGATCAGGGAGAGTGCTGAAGTGCTGGGGTGTGAAGTCTCGGGGTGGCCTTTGAATTACTTAGGGTTGCCTTTAGGTGATAATCCCATTGAGAGAGAGCTTTTGGAACCCGGTGGTGGAAAGGTTTGAAAAAGACTTGTTTCATGGAAAAAGAACTACCTCTTTCTTGGTGGGAGAATTACACTTATTAAGGCCATGCTTGCTAATTTGCCTATCTTTTTCCTGTTGGTGTTTAAAATCCCAATGAAGGTTGCTAATAGATTGGAGAAGATAATGAGAGATTTCCTGTGGGAACCGGGAGAGGAAAAGAGGGATCATAGAGTTAGCTGGGAGATAGTTTGTAGGAGTAAGACCTGTGGTGGTTTGGGGTTTGGGAATATTAGGAGAAGGAATATGA